TTCTTCCCCTAAAAACCAAGCCAATTTACTCCCCCTGCCTCCTGTTTGTTCAAACCCAGTTTATTCAGCTCATGCTCCAAATCCACGCTCAGGCTGGGTGGAAGATTCCCTGCCCTGAACAATTCTGCCGTAAATCCACCCTCGGGTCAGTGTGGGCTCTGTGCTCGTGTGAATCAGACGATGTGTTGGTTTAATCCAGCCAGCACAGATTCCAGCAGAGTGAGGATACAAGCTGAGCACACCTGCCAAGACCCCTGAGCATTGGCTGTGGCCATGCACCATCACAGCTCTTGCTGATGTGAGTTAAAACTATAGATCCAAAGTGTGACTTGTGCTTGTGGTTGTGTTCTAGGGTGAACGAGCTACTGGCTATGGAGTGGCTTTGTTGCTGTCCCTGTTTGGAGGTGCATCTGAAGATCCTTTGCTAAACCTGGTGTCTCCTCTGGGGTGCAATGGAGACTCTCCCACTGAAGAGATGGAGAGGGATTCCAAGCGCCGGCGCCTGGTGTAACACCCCCAGCCCTGAGTGAAGGGCGTGGGGTTACCTCACTTTGCACTGATTCATTCTCAAGCAATGAAAAGTCACACAGCAGAAATTGCCATTTTATTTTTTTTTTTTTTTTACTCTGGTGATAAGATTTATTACTTGTTTCTGATAAAAACAGCCTGAGGTATTGTTTTTATTAAATTATTGGTGCACACAGTTGCTGAACAGGATCAGTGGTGCAGAGTCCAGGCTCAACTAACTGTATCAGGAAGAGGTCACATCCTCCTCTGAGCTCCTCACACAACCTAACTAAGTGCATTAATGCATGAGAAGCTCTCTCTCTAGTCTGAAGAAGCAACTGCAGCTATTGCTTACGAAGCCTTCTGAATTACTTATTATATGTGAGGTTTTACCAGATATTTCTGCAGGCCTCACTACATCTCAGAACACAGAAGGAGCAAAACAAAACCTCTTTAGAATTGGCTTAGTCAGTGACAACTTAGCTTAGCAGCAAAGGAGATGTAACAAGAAAAGGCCTCTAGTTTTAATAAGGTGCTGTTTCCGCATGTTTCATGTATCTCTGACCAGTGAAATCAGCAGGAGGGTTCAGAATATCTCTGTTTAATTGTTTCACACACAGATTACAGAATGTATTCCTGTTAAATGAAGACAACAGTAGAGGGACTGTGATTGAGTAAAATCGGTTTACAAAGCAGAGTGGCTTCTTGCCACTTAATAAAGTTATTATTATTAAAGAAGCTTACGTATCCCATGTGGTGTTTCGTGGTGTTATTTACATTTCTGAGAACGGAGTGCTCCAGAAAAATTGTGCATGACATCATTACTCTGCTCACATTCCTTTTCCCAGCACTCACAGCTGGAAACAGACCTAAGAGGGGAACAGCTTACCCTGAGTGGTTCAGGGCAGTTCTGGACAACTTGCTGATTCACTCCATTTGTTTGATTCAGCAGCAGTCAGGGATGCACAGTGTGAGTTTCTGTACAAGCCAGTCCCAAGCAGCTTCCAGGCACTAGTTTGGCTTGGGATCCCCACGGGAAGTGACTTGTCCCAGTTTATGTCATGTCAGCGTCAGAGCTGGGAACAAAGAGACCAAGTCCCTGTCCTGTGGTTCAAGCATCAGCCCTTGGACACATTTCTTGGCTCCACCAGAGTGTGGATGGTGAAAAATCCCACCCAGCACACACTTGGCTGCTTTGCTGCTGGAGTCAAGCTGAGCTGTGATGAATTGCACCTTTCCCTGTGTCAGAGGTGATCCCTGGGGAGCTGGTGTGGGTTTCAGCTGGAGCTCCAGCAATGAGGTGCACGTCTGGTTTGGGCATGAGGCCTTTTGATTAAAGACTTCATGGAAATCTTATGCAGAAGGGAGAAGAAACATGTTTCATTCTGATTTTGTGGCTATGTTTGATTCTTAGAATGTAACTAAAACCAAAACAAACCCCCCAGAACTTCATTACGTCCTGGATTTGTTTCTGCCTTGCTGTTCTGGTTCCCTGGTCCACTTGAACATACTTCTAAGACATCTATATCTAAGTCCTGCCTTTGGTCATTATAGACACTACGGAGCACTATCTGGTACCAAAAACTGTGGGAAATGTGTCCATGAAGTTATTTTCATTACAGGCTCAGTCTGAGCACTGAAGTGAATGGCAACATGTTCTAATTTCAGTGCTCTGAAATCAAGTCTTCAATCTCCATCTTGTAGCAACACTGCCAATGAATCAATGCTAATTTTGAAACCTCATATTTTGCCAGATTTTTACATACAAAGTAGCCTGTGGCTCTGTGGCATGAGGCTAAATTCTAATGTTACTCACAGAGTGATAACAGAAGTTTGATTTTGATGGCTGATCATCATGTTCCTCAGTTTGCTGTGTCTCAAGGCATATAATTCTGGATTTAATTTGGAAGGCACTTATTAGAAGCCATCTTTAAAAAGAAATACCTCCCACTAAGAAAATTATTATTAAATACCTGAAAAGCAAATGGGATAAATATCTGGAAAATGAAAAACTGAAAACCAGCTGAAGTTTGCTTGAGCAGAGTAAAATAAATTCAGCACTTAATAGCAAAAAGCCTGATGCTTCCTCTGCTTCAGAGATACAAAATAAAGGCTCTTTATTTCCAATCTGTAATAAAATCTCTTGCTATTCCTGATGTACATTATTATTATTTCCTTTTTGATAAAAGGTCTATTCTCTAGAGCAGCAGCTTTGGACCTGCACAAGGCTGTGATTTGTGACTTGTATTTACCAAATAAATGATTCTCTTTCTTCTGTGTTTCACAGAGCTTGCACTGGGATCATTCCTGTTAACTCACAGTGTCTCTTAACCCTTAACTAGGAGAATTTGAGTTCCTTCAAGACCCACTTCCACCACCTGGATTTTTTACCTACTGCCAGGCACTGGGCAGCTTTAACTCCTGCATTTGCCATGAACTATCTTGGTGTGAGACCTGGAAGCAACTTACAAAAGAGGAGAACCCAAAACTGCCTTAGGAGTAACAAATACTTACAGATTAATGTGTGGGATAGTTACCAAAATAAGAAATAAGCCCATGTTGAGCACTAGAGGTGGAATTTGTCTCTGCAGCTGCTGCTAATCCCTGCAGAGCCTGAGGTGAGCAGGTTGCAGAAGACATCCTGACCCAGTGCTCCATAGGCACTTCCAGGTGACAAAGCAGCAGTTATTTACAGGAAACAGTTCCAGACAGCAGAGATTGACCTCTGGATTTAGGTGACTGCACTTGAAGTATATTTTAGCACCACTTAAGCAACTTTAAACAGAAACACTCCTACACTGGGCAGTGTGAGCACCTGCAGATGCTCATAAAGCTCCTCTAGGCCCTGTGTCCTGCACACTGCAGGGAGCCCTGGACCAACCCTGCAAAGACAGAAAGCAGCACAGGGCTCAGGGAGCTGCTGAAGGTCACCCAAGTTATCCAAACTTGGGAGTTCCCAAACTCCAGGATCACAGATATCCTCCTGCTCCTTCTGAGCAGCCACAGGAGGTGGAGCAGAGTCACACAGCACTTGATACCAGTCTCCAAAAGCAGCACAGAGCCAGGGAGGTGCCTCTCTGTCTTGTTTGGTAGGTCTTAGAGCTTAAATCACTGTAGCCATGGGCCCAGCACTTTTAAGAGGAGGCTGACAACCACAAGCTAATAAACTTCAGGAGATTTCCTTCTCACTTTCTCCTTGGAGCTGTGCTGCTGTTAGCAGAGAAGGGTCCAGTGGAAGCTGATACAGGCAGTAGGTGAGTTAGCAAGTGCCTCCACCATGGCCAGGGGGCTCTGGGGCTGATGGTCCAGACCAGAAGTGCTTTATCTTGGTGACAGCAACATCCTTTGGGCAGCAGTTTGCTGTGAACCACATGACAGACTTGGGAGGGAAGGACAAGGTTGATCTGCTGGTTTTTTTGTAGAAGTAGAGTTGGTGCATCTCAGGCTTTCTCCAGCCTTTCAGCATGAAAATACTGCCATATAAATCACATCAACACAGATCAAGCTGGAGAAGCTAAGGGTTTAGCCTAGACCCATTTGGGTTCCCTTTGGGTGTGTTGGACTTTACCTGGAGCCTCTGGTTTGCATCCTGTTGGGTAGCTGAGCCATGCTGGGTGTCTGGAGGTGGAGAGATACTGGTTTTGCTGGGAACAAGATGAGAGCAGGAGGCACAGAAATCCCAAACTGTTTGTAATGTGGACAAACTCTTGGACAAAGTAGTTACTTGAAAAATAGTCTTTAGGACATGAAGACAAGCACCTGTATTCTGTTCTAGGTGAGTCAGGGCATCTTTTTATCTTCTAGTACCTATGCACAAAGCTACTACTAACTGTGTTTGCTACAGCAGGGCTAGGAACCTGCTGGAAAAGCATCCACACAAGAAAGAGATCCTTTTGTACTTAACTGCACTGAACCAGAAGCTGCACAAAGTCACACTAGACAATGAAATCGATTTTTCTCCATTGCATGTTTTAGGGGTGGAATTAGTACCTCTCACTCCTTAGTCCTCACTGTGGTTTGTGTCTTGGAAATTCTGTTGCCTTGACATGTGATGACTTCTGGATGGGCAAGTAATAGTTTTCCAAAACTGCAGTGCAGGGGTTTTTATTTTTCCCCTTTCATGTTTTCTTTCAAACACTTCTCTCACACAAAACCCACAGAGAGAGTTCCAGGCAGTGTCCACCCATATGAAACCAGACATTTTTTCCATGATCTTTTTATAGATTTGATAATATTTAACTCTGCATGTATTAAGAATGTATGGAGTACATAAAATTCATTATAAATGTCACCAAACAGGCCTATGGCTTTTTAATATCTCTGCCACAAGACTGCATTTTAACCTATTTCCTGTTTGGATCCATTCCAGTGGCAATTCCAGGAGGGGAATATATTTAGTCTATATTTACTTAGTCTGTTTAACTTTCAGTTAGTGTCTTTGGCTGATCCCGTGGCCGTGCTATTTTGGGATGATTTATACAATATTTACATTAAATTCTGCTAATATTTCCTTGCCTCTTGAAGTTGGATTACACTATTTACATCTCAAAGGCCCAAACTGGAGGAATAAGCAGCTGTTCCAGGCACCAGAGAGAATTTAGCGTAGGGGAGGCTGCCAGAAATGAGACCATGTGCCTGAAATGCTCGTGGAGGAGTTATTTAGAATTGGACCATGAAGGAAGAAGGAGTCAAGGAATGGTTTGGGTTGCAAGGGATCTTAAAGACCATCTAGTTCCAAACCTCCTGTCATGGGCAGGGACACCTTCCACTAGACCACGGTGCCCAGAGCCTCATCCAACCTGGTCTGGAACATTTTTAGGGATGGGGCATCCTCAGTTACTCTTGAAATCATATTCAGTGCTGCCTCATCACCCTCAAAGAGTTTCTTCCCAATATCCAATCTGCTTCTGCCCTTTTTCAGCTTGAAGCCATTTCCCCTTGACCTGTCACTACACACCCTTGTCCTCCTCTCCTCTCCAGCTCTCTGAGAGTCCCTTTAGGCACTGGAAGGTGATAGAAGGTCTCCCTGGAGCCTTCTCTTCTCCAGGCTGATCAACCCCAGTTGTCTCTCAGCCTGCCTTCACAGGAGAGGAGTTCCAGCCTTCTGAGCATCTCTGTGGCCTCTTCTGGACTTGCTCCAACTGTTCCATGTCCCCAGATCTGAGGAAATTCCTCTCCAGCTCTCTGAGAGTCCCTTTAGGC